TAGGGTGCCTAGGGTTTCACGAGGAGTAACGGTAGTTCGGAATAGGAACCTAGTCCGAACTACCTAGTTCGAGCCCCGTGTAGCCGCGCTGCACGGGGTTCGAAGCAGCGGGGATTTAAAAATGGTGGCTCCCCGCTTATGCTAATGAAGCCCGGGAAATTCAAATCCCGGGCTTCATTAGCAAGTGAGGTATGCATACATTACCCCGCTAGTTCGAACTAGCGGGGTAGTGTAGACATACCCTGGCTGAGCTAGGAATGGACTCCAGGCCTTCAGCATTCCAACCCAATCAAATGACCATCCTGATATTTTCTCTGCAGCCAGTATTCCGCAAATGTAAAGAAAGGTAAGAGCCAGGTAAAAATATATGGAAGTGGGAGGGAGTTCACTGAAACCATGGCCAAAAAGACTGGTTGCACTAAAAACAGAAAGTGTCCTGTTTTGTCAGAACAGAGAGAAGGGTTTTCAAGTAAAGAAAAGGAATAAAGTTCGTCAGGAATTTCCTAGCATAAATGTTTTATTCAGGTTCCCCCCACCTCCCAGGTGAGCTGCTGCTTTGCACCATGGGAATCCAGGGACCACAGTGCATCCAGGGAGATGTAGTCTGGTTATGAGCCAACCTACAAAGGAAAATGTGGGGGTGAGGGAAATAAGGAATAGACTGCAACCCTGAACTTTTAGATGCTGAACTACAACTTTCATGATGGACCACAACAGCTTGGGCAGACATAACTTGATATTGAACTGACCTGAAACAAAATATTTCAGCTTGGCTTGACAAACCAAACTAAATGTTTTGACATTTCTGAACCGAAAATTTCTGGAACTTTTTATTCAACTTTTGGATATTTTGGTTCTCTCTCCTGCTTGGGGTGAAAAGAAATGTCAAAACATCAAAATGTAAGGCAGGATGGAAATTCCAGTTTTTCATCAGCTGTAATACTAGTCATGTTATTCCATGTCTCAGTTTTCCTAGCAGACAGTGAAAATTGCATTGGATTTGAGCAGTGTTTCTGAATATACATTACTCATTGGAGCCTGAGTTGAACCTATTACATTTTGGATTGAAAGAACAACTTCCAGCAGTTCAAGTGGGTGTTGTGTATTTCACATTCAGCAAATGTTCATGTTTGTCATTAGGGTTCAGCCTGTGCGGCTCATAGTTAAGGTTTCACTGGGGTTTCTATTTCATGCTGCTTTCTCAGACCTCAAGTTGAGCCACTTCAGCTCTCAACTCTCCCCTCTTCATGCTCCTGCTCTATTTGGGAAGCAGTGCTGAGCACTGCAGGGCTCTCAGTGAGGCAGCTCCCGTGGCCTGGAAAGCTGGATTGGCACCTACTACTAAAACAACTTCAAGATCTGCAAGATGTCTGAGAGACAGAAAAGTGGCTTCAAGCTGCCTCAGGAGCTAGTCCAGCTGCTGCAACAATCCCTACCATATATCCCACCACATTCCAAATCCCCAGAAACAACTTCCCAACCAGGATACCCACCCCATGATAACCCTGCAAACCTTCAGTTTTCTATCTGACCCCATGTCTTCCACATTACGTCTGTGTCTAGACTGGCAAGTTTTTCCGCAAAATCATCTGATTTTGTGGAAAAACTTGCCAACTGTCTACACTGGCCGCTTGAATTTCCGGAAAAGCACTGACGAGCTCATGTAAGATTGTCAGTGCTTTTCCGGAAATACTATGCTGCTCCCATTTGGGCAAAAGTCTTTTTCCAAAAGACTTTTGTGCAAAAGGGCCAGTGTAGACAGCATAGTACTGTTTTCCGCAAAAAAGCCCCGATCGCGAAAATGGCGATTGGGGCTTTTTTGCGGAAAACCGCATCTAGATTGGCCACGGACACTTTTCTGCAAAAAAGTGCTTTTGCGGAAAAGCATCCTGCCAATCTAGACACGCTTTTTCGAAAATGCTTTTAACAGAAAACTTTTCTATTAAAATCATTTTCGGAAAATCATGCCAGTGTAGACGTAGCCTACAACTTTGTCCCCACAGATACTCCCTCCAGACATGCCACCTCACGTATGCTGCCCATCACTTTCAGAATGACCCTGAAGTGCACAAACAGCCAGCAGACTCAGGAGGACAGTAGCTATCAGCCCTATTCCAGCTGTTGTCCCCCACTACATAAAAACTTGGGACTTCTTCTTTCTGCTCCCTCTCCTGAGGAGAAGGAAAACTCAGAGGTCCTTCCATACTCCATGGCCATCCCAGCCCCATCCCTCCCTACCTCAAACAAAACACCCCCACTATCTCCCACTTTCTCCCAACATCCCCCCATTTTTCCCAACCCTTCTACCCCATACCACTGTCCCATGAGGATACCCTCGTGAAGTTTTGTAGAGTGGGGACCACGGCCTATCCTATCAGCTTCTGGGGGCCTGGCTTCTAGCATTCTCTTTTGAAGGGCATTGCCCTGGGGGGCAGGGGGGGGGTCACTGCCTCTGTAATCCAAAAGACAGAAATATGTTCTGAATTAGGGCTACAGCCTTACCCAGAGACACCCATGCCTGGCCCACACTGACCCAGAATCCTGTGGCCTACCTTCTACAGAATGGCCCTACCAAAGAAGCCCTACCCCTACTAAGATGATATTCTTACAAAGGAAAATTCTACCATATGTATTACGAAGTCTCACAGAGGCCCCAACTGTTTTACTCCAGGATCCCTAAACAAATAGAGACACCTGCAGATCCCCAACTAGACAGGATGCATATGGATGGCCATGTGGGGTCTCATGCCCCCTCCCCCAGATTTCTGCCTTCCACTTGGCTCAGCTCCCTGAAGTAATAATGTAATATAGGCTGAACCCCTCTAATTCAGCACCTTCGGAACCTGACTGGTACCGAACAGGAGAATTTGCCAAACCACGAGAGGTCAATAGTTTTGGGCGCGGGGGGAGGGAGGCACTCCAAGATGTTAGTAGGTGGTCAAGGGCCACACTGTTCTATGGAGGAGGTATGGGGTCTAAGATAGAGCTTGGGTGCAGAAGGGCACACAGGAGAGGGGAACTAGGGTGCAGGAGATGGTGTGGGGTTTGAGAGGGAGTTTGGGTGAAGGAGGGGATTGTGATCTGGGGCAAGGGGCTGGGGTGCAAGGTCTGGGAGAGGGTATGGCTGCAGGAGAGGATTCTGGCCTGGGAATGGGCTGTATGAGGAGGTTCAGTCGTCTGGGAGGAAGTTGTGACCGGGGGGAGGGAGGGTTTGGATGGTGACCTGGGGGAGGGAGTTGGGTTGGGGGAGGGGCTGCGGTGCTAGAGGCAGACTTTGGCTGGGAGGGGCATAAGCAGCTCCTGGCCAGCAGCACCCACAAAGCAGGCTGGGCTCCCTGGCTGCTGCAGCCCCAGATTGCTTAAAATTGCAGGCTGCTCCCTCCATGTGGCTCTCTACTCCAGACAGGGGAAGAGGGAGAGGCTTGCACTGCCCCCGCCTCCCAGTCCAATCTCTCAGTGCCTATTGGTTGGTTGTTTCCGGCCAATAAGAGCTGAGGATTTGGCTGGGGCAATCACATGAAGCCTACTGCTCTGTGCCTGAGGGTCCCAACAGGGTGGTCCACGGGCCAGATCTGGCCCATGAGACATATCTCCCTAGTCTAGCAGAATTGCCAGGGCTTTCACTGCTTACTGGGAAGATATTTAGGGGAAAATTAGAGCTAAATAACAGCACAGAACACTGAGAGCCAGGACTGGTGGCTGTAAAACTTTATGGGACTGCAGGAATCTTGGCCACACTCACAGTAAGTGGACATCTGGCTAACTAAAATCAAGCTGGACCACGGATGCTGCCGGACCACAGAGTGCTGGACTAGAAAGGTTCAACTTGTAGCACAAAGCAGTGGTGTGTCTCTTTGGCTTGCTGCTGCCTGCTCACGGAGTCAATGGCTGTGAGGCAACCCTTCCTGAAGACCGGGAGCAATCTCTATTCTGCAGAGATGGATGCTGCAATTTTTGGTTGCTCCCCCCACCTCCAACACAGACAGGTTGGGTGGCCTGCTGAGATGAGTGAAGCTGGAACTCTCTCCCCAACACTACCTGGGAGCAGAAGCCCAAGTTCTACTACCTGGGCCAGAAGCCTGGTTTATTTTAGCAGACCCCCTGAAACTTGCTAGTGGCCCTCCCCCCGGGAGATCCCTGGCTTTGAACCAGTACCCTCTGGAAGGTGTGTGTTTGAATGGAGTCATGCTGGAAGGGAAAAGAAGTCCAAGATATGTGAAGAAGCTGAATGGGTTGAATCAATGCTCGAAGGGATAGCCCAGGAGCAGAACACCCATATGGGGATGAGGAACATGAGGGGGCAGGTGTGTGTGGAACAGTGTTTCTTAAACTGTGTTGTGCAGCACACCGGTGTGCAGCAAAGAACAGAATTAAAAATGGCAGCCCTTAAAGGGACAGGTGGGAATTAAAAATGGCAGCCCTTAAAGGGATAAGTGGCTTTTAAAAAAAATTTTTTTTTTTTTGCTCAGTAACTTTCCCCCGACCATTTTTTTTTAAAGAAACACTGGTGTGGAATGATGTGGGGTGCAAGAGCCCTGTTTATCCATGTCCCCCCTTTCCCCAGCTCTGCTCAGTCACAACTAGTGAGCTCAGACATGCCTTCTGCAAGGATCCATGACTTAGCCAAAAGATTGCTTAGGCTGGCTGTGAAGACAAGATGACTCCTAGCACTTCCCAGGCTGCTTTCTCAGGGCAAGGTACTAAGGGAACCCTCAGACCCAACTAATGGAGTCAGTACTAAGGGAACCCTCAGACCCAACTACTGGAGTCACATCATCACATCAGAATCTGAGTTTTCATGTTAAATTCCTGCTCTCTGGAGAAGGGGAGTCAATCTGAGAGGGGGTCCCAGCTTCTTCTGTGGTCCAGCTCTGCCACCGCCGTTTCAATGAGTTTTTACATTAACTGGAAAAAAAAAACCTATATATACTCTTCCTAGATTACTCTTACTTTCCTGAGGTAGCTTTACTAGAAGACACTACTGCTAAGCAGGAGATTGTGCATTCATGGGTGCCATTTATGAGGGGTTGGGGGGAGCAGTAACCCCGCTCCCGAGTTTGAACCCCTGGATTTCATACCTGAAATCAGCTCTTAACTGCCATAGAGTTTGAGCTGCTTGCAGCTTTGCCTTTGGAGCAGGGAGTTGGTTATAAAAAGAGGGGGGCAGGTGATTAAGAACAACAAGAGACTGGTAATTCAAGTAATACTGGATTGTTAGATCATCATGCAAACATTGCCAGGTACTTAAAAGCTGGGGTGGGGGCGGGGAAAGGAGTAGCAATGAATGTTGTGCTGCTGGGATTTGAATTTGAAAAACTACTGTAAAATTTTTACTAGGGGGCGTCAGTGCCCCCTGCTCTCTAGACTTGCCAACCCCCCTGTCTTTTGGGGGTAAGAAAGCCCGGTTCTCCCCATGGTGGCTAGGGGCTGCGCCAGCCCCGGCCTCTCACCTCCCCTGCCAGCTGTGGGGGAAGGGGAGGGCCAGGGGCCATGCTAGCCCCAGCCTCTCCCCTCCCTGTTCTCTCAGCTCCCCCAGTCTTCCCCGGGCTCTCGCAGCCCCCCCTCCCCTCCCAGCCAGCTCTGGCCTCCCCACACCTTGCCATCCCCCCGGCCTTTGAGCCCCCCCCTTTTTCCCCCACCAGCCACAGCCAGCCACAGCAAGCCCAGCCTCTCCATTCCCCTCCTTGGCCTCGGCCTGCCCATTTCTCCCCCTGCCGCAGCCAACCCGGCCTGCTCCCCAGCCTCTCGGCCCCCGTCCAGCTGCTGGAGAAGGGCTGAGGCTGAGCCAGGAGGCAGCGGGGGTGGCAGCAACACCGCGTACCTGGAGCTCCAGAGGAGCCTCGGGGTTTTCTCCTCTCCCCACAGGAAGCTGGCGCGCTAATCTTGCAGGAGTAGGGTGTTCCAGGCTGGAGCTCCAGGCATGCAGCAATTCCAGGGTGCCTGGCCCAAGCAGACGGTGGCAGCTCCCTGCTAGGTCCCAGAGAATCATGGCCCCCAGCGCAGTGAAGAGCTGCTCCTGCCACCCTCTGGCCTTCCTTCAGGGAGCCTGGAGCCAGCAGAGAGCCCAAAGCGCTCCCCGAGGGGAGGAGAACCCCAAGCCACCTCTTCCCCTTCTGGGGACTCTGTTGAGTTTGGTGGGTAGGATGATGTAGAGTGACAAGATGACTTCACTCTTTCACCTTGCAGGAAAAACTTTCTTTAATACAGAGAGAGGAATGTTCTTGGCAAGGGGGTAAGTAGTGAGATGGCAAAATTTGCAGATATTACACAGTTACCTAAAATAGCTTAATCCAAAGCTGACTGCAAAGAGTTACAAAGTGATCTCACAAAACTGAGTGATTGGGCAACACAAGGGCAGATGTCGAGAAATGCGAAGTATTGCACATGGAAAAATGGAATCTTAACTATACATACAAAAACGACGGGATCTAAAATAGGTGTTACCACTCGAGAGAGAGATCGTGGAATCATTGTGGATAGTTCCCTGAAAACATCTACTCAGCGCTGCACAGCGAGTAGTGGCGTCTCCCGCAGCCCTTTAAAATCAGCAGTGCAGGGCCGGGCATTGCCAGGGGCGGCTGCTTACCTAGAAATGCCGCCCCTGGAAATGTGCCGCCCCAAGCATGTGCTTGATTTGCTGGTGCCTAGATCCGGCCTTATAACTATAACATTACTATAGAACACATTAATACAGTGTGAGTTGGTAGATACTGATACAGATACACTCCCTCTCGTGAGTGTCCTCTTTTTTGAAAGTTCAAATATGGTAACCCTACCCACGTCTTTTTTGAAAGTTCAAATGTGGTAACCCTACCCACAATTTAAAAGTAGCTGCTGACATTTAGCTCCCTGTTGAATTACAGGATGGCCACATTGCAGGTGACAAACCACGGTTCAGATATTTTAACAGAAACCTGAGCTCTAGAATGCCTCTGTTGCTAACAGTTATCAGAGGAACTGTAGGATTCCAGGTGTATAAAGAGAGAAATGAAGCTAAAAAAGCAATATGATATTTGGGATTCTGGGAGTTGCCATCACATGAACATGACAGTACACATTGTGCTGAAAACCAATGATCACAAACAGCAGTGGTGTCACATAAGGTTACCTACCTTATGATCTCATGCACAACAAAGCGAGGAGCTGGCAAGCCCTTCTTCAGCTTCCAGATGAGGGAGATAAGGGATCCTGAGTTTGCCTGAGAAGCTCCCATGGAGGTAACCACCACAACAGATGTAACCAAACAGTCCTCAAGACACCACTACCAACAAAAAAACAAACCACCAGACTTACCTCCTTTTACAGCAGTAGTACTGATATATCCAGGATTGTCTCATGCCCAAATGATAGTACAAAGCACCTCAAAGATGAATTTAATATAACAAGTTTAGTGAGTTTGGGGAAGCAGAGTGGCAGGCTGCTGGAAGACTGAGGCCAGCCAACTCTGATTATAGGACGAGCCTCACCTGGGAGGGATTAGGGTGATAGCAACCTATAAAGAAAGTAGGAAAATTCAGTGCAGGCCAGTAAAATGAATATTGAGAAGGCAGGAGAAGAATCAACAGGGAGGGGAGGGGATTCCAGTTTCTCCAGGCCTAAACCAAAGGATTCTTTCTACAAAAATGAAAGCTGCAAAAGGATGTTGACTGTATCTGTATGGAGAACACAGCGATCTGGTTAAAACAGTAGTCCTCAAACTTTTAATCTCCTGCCCCCCCCTCTTTCTCCTGTCTGTGACCCCCTCATGGTTGTGGGAATGGGGATCCAGCTCTGGGAGGTGGGAACAGGGGTAAAAGAGTTGGGGCCACTGCTGGGGATGAGAGCAAGGCAAGAACAAACCCTTGGCCAGAGGCTCAAGGCCCACAGCTGCTGCAGCCAGGGCCTTAAGCACAGAGCCAGTTGCTGGGGCCAGGACCAGAGCTGTATGGTGCACCCTCCCCACCCCTGTGGGTGCTCATCCAGGCCCAGCTGCACCCCTCCCCCCCCAATTAAATGTTTATTTGCACTCCTCTTAAGGGGACCAGTTTTCTGGCTGTGGAAAACTGAACACCCTTCCTCTATCCCTCTGCCCCTTTCCTGAGGCCCCACCTCTTGCGTCCCCTCCCACTTACTCCATCCCCCCTCCACCCATCACTTGTTTAATGCCAGCAGACCCTGATGGTCTGTGGGTGGAATCAAAACTGGGACCTCTGGAGCTTAGAGCATGAGCCAAAAACCAACTAGCTATTAGCTAAGGCTGTAGAGCAGACTCATTATTCTCTCTGTAAGTGGTCTCAGTGCCACTCCATGGGACAGTACACCCCACCCAACAGGTCAAGGTAGATTTGCTCTCCTTCACCCTTGCTCACGATCTCATTTTCATCAGGCTAGGGCCGAGGCTGGAAGTGCAGCGGGAACGAGGGGTCCCACTGGGGATGTGAGGGGTTGGGGCTGGAGAGGAGGGGTTTGCGGTGCTGGAGGGGGGCTCTTGGCTGGAGCATGGGGATAAAGGCTGAGGATATGGGAAGGGATGAGGACTCCAGGGTAGGGCCGGAAATGAAGTGTTCAGGGTATGGGATAGGGCTCCAGGCTGGGGCACAGGAGGAGGTTCAGGGTACAAGTTCTGGGTGGTGCGCACCTCAGGCAGATCCTGGAAGCAGCAACAGGTTCAGGGTACAAGTTCTGGGTGGTGCTCACCTCAGGCAGATCCTGGAAGCGGCAACATGTCCCTCTGGCTTCTAAATGCAGGGATGGGCAGAGGGCTCTGCATGCTGCTTCTGCCTGCAGGGGCCACCCAGATCCCAGCCAATGGGAGCTGAAGAACCAGCGTTCAGGGAAGAGGCAGTACAAGGAGCCTCCCAGGCCACCTCTGCACCTAGGTGCTGGACATACCAGCCACTTCCAGGAGCCATGTGGAGCTGCACCAGCAACCAGACTTTTAATGGCCCTGACAGAGGTGCTGACCAGAGCCACCTGGATCCCTTTCAACTGGGCTTTCTGGTTGAAAACTGGCAACCCTAAAGGGTACATTAATTACTCTGGAAAGATCATGCAGATAAGTGCAAAGGAAGGATCAACCAGAGACTAATGGTAGGGGTGGATAAGTAAACACTGCAGATGACATTCAGAACTTTAATCAGACCAGTTATTGATGAGAGCTGACAAGATTTTGGGTCAGCATCAAAATCAGAACATAAAGAAATTGGATCTGATTCAAGCACAGGCACAAGTTGTGTGCCGTGCAATTATTGCAGGATCTGTATGTGCTGCACATAGCTGCCAGCTACGCTACAAATCAAACTACTTTGTCTCATTTTCTGGGCAAAAATTATTTGGAATTTCTGTGGTGAAAATAGCAAACAACTAAATGAAGATTGTTGGGAATTCAGCTGGTGAACTACAAACACGTCATGTTAGATCTTCACCTGCTATTTGCATTTAAAGGTGGTTCCAGGAATTGAAAGACAAGGAAATGCTAAAGGAAGTCAAATCTTTTAGTCCAGGAAAAATTAGTTATGAATGCAAAGTCCCATGTCCAAATGTGGATTTGCATTTATTTTATAAACTTAAAGGAGAAAAGGAAACAATCAATATTAAAATGAAGAATACTGATTTATAGATGAAAAGTGGAATCATTTTTTCCAAGTACATACAGATGGTTCCAAAAAGAAAACTCACACAGAAGAATGGAGATAGCCTATTGGATACCAAAATTGGGAATTAATGCAACCCAAAGAAATATCCAATTTTCTAGCTGTCACGAGAGCTGATCTAGTAGCAATGATGCCAGCTTTAAACTAAATGTGGGATGTGTGGCCAGCAGTGGTGATAATTTTTTCAGACTCAATAGCAGGATGTATGGTGATAAAAAGGGTATCTCCATATGTAGAAGTGATTTAAACAATGACATTGTATTTCTGATAATAATTAGGACAGATGGGGTTATATGTAGCATTAGTCTAGATCCCAGCACATAAAAGGGAACCAAATGAATGGACAAAACATCTAAAAATCGTATAAGAAATGGAAGGATTGACCTAGAAATACCCTTGCGTGAACAAGAATGCAAAAGCATAATACAGAAAAAATTAAAAGAGCAAAGCCAAAAAAGGGGGAGGACATTCATTTTTTGTTTAGAGTACCAATTGGTTGTTATGCTTTAAACAAAAAACAACAACAAAAATCTTTTCTGAGTTAACTAACTCAAAGGTGGAAGTCTGTAAAGTAGAAGAAATAATTGATTGCCTTTTATAGATATGTAAGGGCTTTGATAAAGTAAAGTAAAGTAAAAGCTTCTTGCAGAATTTAATTGATTTAAGGTAACAAAAGTTACATTATTTAGTTCAGCGATGGGGGAAATGGGGTAGTGTTAGAAAGGAGTTAGTATGTGTCCTGAAAAAGACAGGCTAGAATGAGAGCATAAAAAACACTGACACTGGTGGGCCCTACACCATCCAGTCAAGTGTGCTGCACCATGAAACAGGAAAACCAGAAAAGAAACAAGGTGGGGGAGAGGAGGAAGTTTAGGAAGTTGCAGAAAAAAACAGAGTGTGTGGGCTCCTGCAGGGAAGACCCTGAGGCCAGGGAAATAGGAGGCTTTTGTGGAGAAGACCTGATGGAATTATGACCTTGAAGTTCGGAGGCCTAGAGGCCACCCTAGGCTCCAGTTAGGAAGAGCTGTGAGGATGGTCTGTGAGAACAGATTGGGAGGATAAAAAAGAGCTGTAGGAGAAGACACCAGAACTAAGTATGGACTGTTGTGTGGTGAGGGTCTTTATTATGGGCCCTGAGTGATTCCAGATCACCACACACAAAGGACTTTGAGAATCAGGCAGGGCCTCTGACAGCTAGTGAGAGAAAGACCCAAGTAATAACACACTGGGCCTATTGATTTTTCCCCTGGTGTGTCAAAGAAAAGCTCTACCTAATGTAAAACAAGGGATGCTCATTTTGAGACAGGGCAGCCAGGCTCTGCATCATCCTAGTTCTGGTACCCCAGAACTTCCTGCACCTTGAAATGGGATGGCACACCTGGAGTTGGGGCTCCCTTCACAGGCTGCAAGGCAGATACTTTAACTGCCTCCATCCTCTGAACACTCGCCCTTCCCATCCCTTTCAGGCCCACCTGCCTGTTTAAAGAACAAAGGAAATTTACCTACAAAGAACATTGTTAAGATTGCTGTTGAACAACAGGATCTCCTGAGCCCCGGCCTTAACATCCCAAACAAAAATGCTCAGTAAAGTTTGTCTACACTTGTACTTGACCGACAAAACTTTTGTCGTGTTGGGTGCATAACACCCACTCAAGAATGACAACGTTTTGCCATAGCAAGTGAAAGGGTGAATGCTGCTTTGTCAGCAGGAGCGCTCGCCTCTCGACAACGCAAAACCCCCCTCATATGTTGGGGATGGAAGTATTTTTGTCAGCAAAAGTGCAGACAAATGGCATTCACACAAGCTGACTTTCAGCGACAAGGCTAGGCCGGCACAGCCCTGTCACCAAAACTGCCTAGGATAGACAAACCCTTAGGGTAGCTCCACCCATCCCCCAAAAGAATGTCAGTGTTATAAGAAAACACATAAGGAAGGGGACAGGAAACAGAGGCCTGCTCTGTGCCAGTGACCTTATCTCCACCTTAACTACACTTTTATAAGTAGTAAGAGTGTGGAAACAATAGCCTAGAGGAACACATAAAACAAGGCAGGCACACTGAAAGTACCTCTGTCTAGACTTGCAGCATACTTGCTGTTCTCAGCTTCTCAATTCTACTGAATGAAGCCTACTCGTCACGCTGGAATGTTCAAACTTGCGCCGCTATGGTAACATGTCCAACCCAGAAGACACTAAACTCTCTCCCTTATAACCTACTCTGAACACTTATTTTTCCTTTTATTCAGGTAAAAACTTGGTACAGTATTCCAAGCATCGTGCCCATTAAAGTGTAAGGTTTTGGGCCAAACTAATGAGCACATGTACATTACTCTGGATTTACAATGAAGATGCTATGAAATTGTATAGGGACACATTTGTTTAAGAAAGGTTAGAGGACCATGCATAAATTGAATTGGAAACTGTATCCACACCATTGTGCATATGTACAATTAGATACTATGACTGTGTGCACAAGAAAACCATTTGGAGTGCACATGAAATAATTTCATGCATAAAGAAGGTGTGCATCTTATTGCATGTTTCTGAAGTGCTTCTGCAGAATTAATGCATACTCTGATAATAAATTCATTGTCATGTTCATCTGTAATGCTTTGCTAAAGACCACAGAACCTCAAAGGAGTGATTGAAGGCTCTTGAATAGCCTCACAGTATGGCTGCCATTTATCACTATTCTAGTATATTTGTCCACTATTGTTTAGTGCTATGAGATCCTTAGTTGAAAGTTGCTATACATGCTCAAATACTATTATTGACTGTCCTACTGTAAAAAGTATGCATTCAGAAACCTACTGAGATATTACAAACAGATGCAAAAAGAGAGGGTTGTGACCTCTTATTACTTAAAAAACACACAGCTAAAAGTCTTCTTTTATTTTAATCTTTGTGGAACTGAAGAGCAAATACAGCATCTAGGGAATTTCAACGAAAACCCAGTTTTCTGTTCCATGATAGAAATCTACAGTGACTGGAAAGCAACTGTGACATTGCTCAATATAATTATACAGAAAAAGGTCACAGAGGGAAGTATTTCAATCTTATATTATTCAGGAAAAATATATTGTACATATGCAATTGTGCCTGAAAAGTGTTTTGTTAAGGCTCAGATTCAACCCTCACTTACCTCTGTGTAACCTCATTGACTTACAGTGGAGTGGCAGGAATATAACTGGGGGTACGACTTGGCTCCTAAAATATGATTGTCCAAATCAGTGAATCTTTGAAAATTAGGCAGCTGTTTACAAATGCTTTGGTTTCATCTCCACAGAGAAGCAATGCTCGGTATGTTAGCTATGGGAAGAGCTAGTTCCTTTTATCACTGTTCCAGTCCTGTTGTATATTAGACTTCTTTGCTTGCCTGCCCACAGCAACCAGCATTGGTTTGGCCGACTGCAGTGCAACTAAACACAGTCAATGGAGACCATTGTTTTATTACTGAACACCAAATCAGCAAGCAGAAACACTTATTTTGTGCTTTGATCCCTTCCTTATGCCCCTGGGCACCCACTGCAAAAAATCCCACACATGTTAAGACCTGGAAACACACGTTCACCAAAATTAAGGTGCCTGGCCAGCAACTAAGGCTTGATTCAGCTCCTGCTTAACTCAATTCAAAGACTCATTGACTTCAGTGGAGAGGAACAAGTTTGAATTACTCAGTGACTTTGGACAGGCTATACCTCTCGTCACCTCAGTTTCCCCATCTGTAAAGAAGGTTTGGTAATGCAACAGACCTCACAACTCCAGCCATTTGTGAGAACAAGTTGATGGAGGCAGCAAGCCCAAGAACTGTGAGAATATGTGTCCGATTAATACAGTTTGGATTTGGATTCAAACTTTACCAACCTTCAGTCACCTTCAGATCAAGCCTTTTGGCTTGATTGTTCATAGAGCTAGAGGCTAGTCACAAAGGACATGTCTACACTGCAGCCAAGAGAGAGCCTCCCAGCTTGGGTAGACCGATTTGTGTCTGCTAAAATAGATGTAGGGAGGTTGTAGCGCTGGCAGAAGCTTAGCTTAGCTTACAACCAGCTGGCAGGCTGCACATGAGCCTAAGTCTCAGCCAATGCCACAGTGTCTAAATAGCTATATCTAGTGAGCTACACTAGACCCTGCTAGTATAAGTCCTACCGACTGGGAGAGTCTCTCATCGCTGAACTGTAGTAGACTTATCCAAGGTTTGGATCAAAACCCAAAATGCCCTAAAATGACAAGTTTTGATTTGGGTTCATGCTCAATCAGCTGGTTCTTCTGTGAGTCACCTCATACAAAAATACTTGATAAATTAGGCCATGTTTTATCAAGTTGGAAAATATCACCCCAAGGCCAACTGTATTTCTTAATCTGAAGTTCTCTCTGACGGTGATCGATTGCATTTGCATTGCTTTTTTGGGATGGACAGAGGGAGGGAAACATAACATGTTGTTCATCTTAAATGGGATCTGTGGTATAAAAGTTATGCTTTTACCGTCAACTGCATTCAGCACTCATATTGTTTATCCTCATTTCTCCTCTTCAGTAAAACACACTTACCTTTAACAGGAACACTGTCCACACAGCCTCACAAAGAACACCACTTCTGAAACTACCAAATAATTGCATGTTTCTGTTACCCAGCTTTCACTGTACAAATCCAAAACATTAATTCCAAGTGGATGAATGCATAGTTTGCTAATTGTTTAGGATGCCTCAGGCCAACCATACAACAGAAATCACTATTCTAGAAAGGTCGTTTTATTAAAGAAATAGCTTTTCTCTGTGCAAACCCCGCAAACTGGCACATTATCCCACTTCCAACAAATCAGGAAAATAAAAGAGTGTCGTTGGTATTTGCCACTCTAATGACCACATTGGGGCTAAATTCTGCCCTCGTAAACATGGAAGTACACTCCTGCCAGTGTAGCCAGGGAGCTGCTTTGTCTTCATTGGAGAGCATAATTTGAGTCTTGGTGTATTTTTGTTTAGGTTCTTACATTATGATTCAGTTTGTTATCGATCCTCTAGCCATTTTAATGCTTGTCATTTACTATGACTAGATCAGTGATTCCAGTAAACCAGTGGTTCTCAAACTTCTTTGGCCTGTGGCCCACCTGGCTCAATGCAAACCTTTCCATGGACCATCAGCTGCTAATGGAAACTCGCCATTAATTACATAATTATGCCCAAGCCATTTTGCTAGTGCTGCAGCTAGGGAGAATGGTTTAATTTAACCAGTAAGAAAGGAAATATTAATTTCAATTATTAAACAGACTGAGCGCTTTAACTTTTTCATGTTAGTTTATCAAACTTCATTTTAAATAAAGTAAAATACTAAGTTATGTCCAACACAAAAGGTTCCCATGTTTTCTTTATTTATTGCAGTGGAGGACCACTGATCCACAGAAAAATCAGCTGGGGACCACACAAGTGAGAAGCAAAAAGCAAACAAAAAACCCCCAAAAACCCTTCCAGAAACCTCCAACCCTCACTGCTGTGGCCCCCAACTGAGACACTTCACTCCTCTAGCGCTCCAGCACCACTGGGGGAAGGGGACACACAGGGAGGAGTGAGGTTCAGGACTTCCCATAGTTGAAATTTAGTCTTCTGGGGTTCCAGGGTTAGTGGATTTTGAGGACCATTCTAGGTTCTGGGGTTGGGACAAAAATGGGGAGTTCAATGTGCAAGACAGGGCTGCCAGCGAGAGGAATGGAGGTGCAGGATCTGGGTGGGAGGTGGAGTGCAAGGTCTGAATGGGAGGTAGGTCAGGAGCAGGTCTGACCAGGGGAAGGGAGCAAGAGCAAGGGAAGGTACAGTGTGTGGCCAGAAAAGAGGAAGCAGGAGCAAAGGTGGGTGCAGGCTATCGGAGAGGGTGCTGGAATAGACCTGGGAGAGTGGGTGTTTCATTGGGGAGAGGTGCATGAGAGGGCTGAGGATGTGGGGATCTGAGTGGGAGGGCAATTACTTGCCTTCATGCCCTGTGCCACTCCCAGGCACGGCCTCCCGCTGCTCCCATTGGCTGGATTGCGGCCAATGGGAGCAGTGAGGAAAGCTTCCAGGGAGTGCGCCCATGCACTGCTGTTCCCCCAACTGGGCGAGGTGGGGTAGCACTTCTTCCCTGCAAGTTGGATCGTGCAGCGAAGCTCAGGGCTTTCTCTCCTCTCCCCAGCAGGAAGCCGACGCTGGTGCTCCAACTTCATGGGTGGGGGGGGAGGAGAGGAGAAGGGCAAGGCTGGAGTGCCAGTGCTGGCTCCCTGCTGCGGGGGGAAGGAGGGGAGCTGCGCTCAAGACACAGATCACTCGGAAGGTGGCCACGGACTATTTGAGAGCCTTTGCAGCAACTGCAAGAAGAAAATAGCTTTTCTTATAAGTGAGCATAATGGGATAGCCAGCTTGTGTAATAATTAACACTAATGTGATAGCACTCTTTCAGTCTTTAGACCTTAACAGGCTTGAACTGCAGCCCAATGAAATCAAGTTGATTGCACTGAGATTTGGATCAGGTTCAGTGTGCTACAAAAATCGGCAAGTCTTCTGTTCTACAGAAAGTTTAACAGAAACAACCAGAAGTTTAATAACTTGCCAAATGATTTGGTACTGTATATCAGTCATACAGTGATTCAAAGACCTTCTGGCTCTCAGCCTGGTGTTCCATCCCTAGATCACTGCTGATGTCACATCATTATGAAAACAGCGAAATTTCAGCAAATAGTGGAACTGAAACATTATTTTCCCCCCTTTCTCTTCTTTTCCATTGTACATTAAACATCAAGATGTATGCAGATAAGTAGTGAAACAAAACCAAGAGCTATAGAGTCTTTGCAGTGCTGTCAAAATATGTGGATTAGGAGTAATTTCCAAAATACTACCAACCAATCATAACTCTAAAGGGGGTGGCAGGGGTAAAGAAAACATGAGACCAAGGTCTGTAGCATAGCTCATTTTATTGTTTAAACAGTTTTTGCATAGGAAATATATCCGCTTCCAGTAATTGACTGCAGTATGAGCAGCTGCTAGCAGTATAGGCTGGATATAACAGTAACAATCACATTAAGTCAAGCTTGATTTACACCAGTTTAAAACTTGTGGCAGTTGAGTTCATTTGTAACCCACAAAAAGTACCCAAAAGAACATTATCCTCCTCCAACCAGGCACAATAAAAAC